AAAAAAAAAAAAAATGGAGAACAGGTTTGTATAGCAAGTTAAAACCTTTCAATGTCTATCTCACTTTTTACTGAATAAAAAACATGTCTGTCCCAATAAGAGAGAAAGAGAGTCTTAAGCACTCTAAACAACAAACGTGTCTAGTTACAATGATAAGCTTGAGATCGGACGTCAGCATTATTAGGCGCCTCTGGCAGCCGCTTCAGTCCATGCAAACAATCTCACCTTCCCTCCCATCCCACCCCAGGGGAGGACATCCACCACACAGTAATCTCGTGCGTGGGAAATTAAAGTCTCCTACCCCTAACCTTGCAGAAGACGGGGCCCACGGTTTATTCGTCCTTATCCGAGAAGACTAGAGTATCTATCCATTAGCGGTTAGCTCAAAAATGATGTACTCTTTGTATTAGGAGGTCGATCGCAGCCATTTCATCTTTTGTTGACTAACTGCAGCTGTAGTTACCTGGCAAACAGACCAAAAACAAATTTTTTCCTTCTTTCTAAATTTCGGCCTAATTGGCTTAAAATAAAAAAAAGGAGAAAATCAGTTACTTGCATTCTCATTTAAAAGCCAAAAAGTTTTGCATCCCCATACCTTTAAGCACCTGCATAAATGCCGGTTCAGAAACCACTAGCAATAGATATCGGGTTCATTTTAACGGCAACCTCCAGAAACGTATTGAGTCTTTCCCAGTTTAGACATTGTATTTATATAAACTGTCTCTGCAGGTTCTATTTGTGAGATAATTTCTTTTTTCATGACAGCGAAGCTAATTTTCTCCTAAATTATTTACAATGTTGATAACTACAGAAAAGCAATCGAAAACCTGACAGTATATAAAGACAATATTAAAGGGTTTGATTATCCTAAGTGTTACTAATAATTTTGCAAGTTAATGCAGTAAGATGTTCAACAACAACTGTTAATTACTAAGTTATGCATCAAAAGAAAGACGCTACCGACCACTAATTTCTTTTCCAAATCGAGAATAGTTCTGAAAAAATACTTAAAAAATCCTTCTACTCACAGATCTAAATATCAATCAAGAACTAGAATACTAGCTTCCAATTGTGCGATTTAATTTTGGTTACCTGGAGCATCAACCCAAACAAAAAACAAACACTTCGCCACCTATGGATTAGATTGTCCCATAAATCCTTCCTTTCTTTTTCGGCAAAAGTAGTGGGAAAATTTTTCAAATTTATTTTTGTGGTTAGCTTAAAGAGTCTAGATTAATATTACTTTTTCAGTTTATTTTAGCGCCAACCAACTGAAGGGAATCTGAAAGATTTCGAGTCAAACGCTACCGTGGATTAATCATGTCTTTTTTTAGTCTTTCTTGTTCTTCCATAACGGAATCTAGCTAAAAAGAATTCAATGAGAACAGGTTTGTATAGCAAGTTGAAACCACTCGGGTCTAATTCAATTTTTACTGAAGTAAAAACATGTCTGGCCCAAAAAAAAAATTATTTACCCTTTGTGTTAGGAGTACCATTGCAGCCATTTTATCTTTTGTTAACCAATTCCAGTTGTAGTTACCAGGCAAACAAACCAAAGAAAGCGATTTTTATTTCCTCCTTCGTAAATTTCAGCCCGATCGGCTTTTCAATTTAAAATAGAGAAAAGGAGAAAATTAATTACTTGCATTCTCATTTGAAAGCCAAAAAAAATTTTGCATTCCATACCTCTAACCTCCTGCAAAATGCCGGTTCAGAAACCCCAAGCAATAGGCATCGGGTTCATTTTAACGGCAACCTCCAGAAACGTTTTGAGTCTTTCCAAGTTTAGACACTGAATGTAGATAAACTGTCTCTGTAGGTTCTAGTTGTGAGGTAACTTCTTTTACTAACAATGAAATGAATTTTCTTCTAAATCATTTACAATGTTGATACTTACTACGTCGAAACTATCAGGGAGCACTTTTGTGTTCTAAAAGTCTCGAATTAAAACGCTTTTATTCATTTTATAATGTTTATCTTCCTTTATTAATAAAATAACACTTTAGGCGAGACAAATTTTCCTATTGTAAAGCCAACTCGGAAAGAACTAAGAGATATCTGTGGTTTCAAAACCTCTTTCCGGTAATTTTTTTCCCCAGCGTGTTTCTCGCGGTTCCTTGTGGATGTATGTGATAGCCACTGAAGAAATTTCCGTCAACAAAAATAAACATGTCGACAACACTGTTTTGTTTCCTTCGAAAACTGTGAAGAAAATTTTTTATTATTATTCATAACTCTCTTGGTCTCCTTTCAATGGTTTGATAATCACCGTGATAAACGAGTTAAAGAACAACGAAAGCGATTCCATACCGTCGCGTAATTTCAAGCATGTACCAGCTCAGTGGAGAAAAATTCTTTTGAGTGTCGAAAATAATCTGCAGTGGTATAATTCTGCATT